GCTCGACCCGGAGTCCGCCATGGCATCCAACCTGTTGTGGCGCGAGTGTGCCAAGGTCGCCTTCGTGGAGATGGACAACGACAGTCGCGTGAGGAGGGCCAAGCTGGCGAGATCGACCCCTACGAGAGGGCCGTTCCCTGTGGGAGCCTACGTCTACTTCAGGCGCACCCACGTCAGGCCGGGTGAGTCTCCTGCCCTGTACCGTCGTTGGTTCGGTGTTGCGCGTGTCATCGGCCACGACTACCGCGACCCCGAGAAGATGGCGGGCGGCGTCGAGTCCACGCTCCGACCTGCGGCCGTGCAGGGGGGCCCTCACGCGATTTGGCTACGGTATGGCGGCGGCACGGTCTTGGCAAGGCCGGAGCAGCTTCGGTTCGCGACGGAGGACGAGTTGATTACCTGGGATCGGATGCCTGCTGATCAGCGTGGAGCGGCACTTCCACGAGGGCCTCGAGGATTCCTGGACGTTCGTCGCGAAGGCCTCGAGGACGGAGCACCTGAAGATCCCGAAGCTGCTGCGCTTCCAGGCAGGGAACCTACGGCGGCTACTGCCGCGACTGGTCCGCGCCCGGAGCCTCCAGCGTCGAGAACTACGGAGGCACCGTCGGGCAGTACACAGCCTGCCGAGGGAGCCGACACGGCTAGCACACCACTACAAGGGCGCGACGCAGCTCAAGATGATCCGCGACCTGGAGAGGATCTCACTCCCGGAGTTCCAGAGCATCAGCCAGCAGCTCAGCTACCTGAGCCAGTACTACGTCAGGGACACGACCCAGCACCTGCCGGGCTTGATCCAGGATCTGGCGAGGCTGGAGAAGGAGAAGTGGAGGAGATGAACGAGGATAACGACGCGACGGCGACTCCACCTCCTCCTGAACTTCCCGAACCTTCCGAACTCCCAGATCTCCCAAGGCTTCCCGAACCACCCGAATTACCTGAACGGCTACCTGGATACGGGCCACAGCGGACCCGCGCTCGACTACATCGTGGTGGCGGCCCCACGGCCAGTGGAGCGTACCTTGCTGAGTACGACACGGACGAGGTGTACCACGGCTGGATAGCCTATGCGTGGTTAACGGGACGCTCCCGCGGGAAGGAGATCAACCTGACGGACCTGACCAAGGCCGAGCGGAAGGAGTTCGACGCGAGCATGGCCAAGGAGTGGGAGAACTGGCGTAACTTCAGGGCGGTGACCGTGGTTATCGGAGACGATGCGAAGGAGCTGCTGAAGAGGGCGAAGCCTATTCCGTCAAGGTGGGTTCACACCAACAAGAACGAGTACGACCCCAAGCTACCGCTCAAGGCGAAGTCGAGGCTGGTGGCGGTTGGCTGCTACGAGTCGGTGCATGTCCGGACGGATTCGCCCACATCTTCCCTGCTGGTGTTTCACTTGATCTGCAGCACGGCGGCTAGGAAGCACTGGTTACTATCGAAGCTCGACGCGACGAGCGCCTACCTACAAGGAGATGATGTTGACCGCATGCTGGTGCTACGACCGCCTCACCACTACCTCCTGGAGTACCACCTGGTTCCCTGTTCGTGTGCCACGGGGCGATCTATGGCACTAAGGATGCTGGGCGGAAGTGGTGGAGTAAGCTACGAAGGACGCTGCGCGGCAACTCGTGGCAGGAGAGCCGTTTGGAGAGAGCCTTCTTCATGCTCTTCGAGGGTGACATCCTCGTTGGCCTTATCGGCACATACGTGGACGACCTGTTCGCGACCGGAAATCCGAACAGCAAGCTCTACGGCGACACGATGGACGAGTTCAAGAGGGTACTACTCTTAACGGAGGAGGAGCCACCCTTCAGGTACTGCGGCAAGGACGTGGAGCAGGCAGAGGACTTCTCGATCAGGGTCTCGATGCAGCACTTCGTGGAGCAGATGGAGGAGTTGCCGATGCTGCCGACCAGGCGGAAGCAGATCAAGGTGCTGGCTACGGACGAGGAGAAGAGTTTTGCGGAGTCGGTGATTGGTTCACTGGGATGGCTCTCGCGACAGCTGCGGATGGACGTTTCTTTCGGCTACAGTTGGCTCGCACAGCAGAAGAACACCATGACGGTGCAGGACCTACTGGAGATGAACAAGCTGGTGCGGTACTGCCATGAGACGAAGGACGTGTGCCTACACTTCCGTAGCGACTTCATCAAGAACGACGCCGACCTTCAGGGGTGTGTGTTCGCCGACAGCAGCCTCAATAACATCGACGAGAAGAAGTTCGGAGCACTGGGCGAGAAGGTGAGGTCGCAGTGCGGTTTCGTGTGCCTGTTGTGCGACGACGGCCTGTACAAGGAAGGCGGTGGACCTGCTCACTTCTTGGACTGGGGCAGTTCCAAGATTCGGAGGGTCTGCCGGGCATCGATGGCGGCAGAGGCCCACGGTTTGACCGAAGGCGCGGAGGCGCTGGAGTGGATCAGGGCATTGTACTACGAGATGGACAAGCCGGACCAGCTGATCGCGGAGTTGGTTCATGACAGTGCGACGTTGATGCCAGTCAAGTGGTTCGACGACGCTAACAGCCTGGTGAGCCACTTGCTGGCGGACGCTGGTCAGGTCGCCGATCGCCGAATTCGAGTGGTGGTGGCCTCGCTTCGAGAGCTTCTAAGCCAAGATGGAGTCGACCTGGAGTGGTGCGATACCAGTGTGCAGCTCGCAGACGCGCTGACGAAGCTCGAAGCGGAGAGGAGCTACCTGACGAACGCCATGCGCGACGGCTACGTGACGACGACCGTCTCCTCCGAGGCGGCGGCCACGAAGGAGGCCATACGAGCTGCACGGCGGCGCCGTGCCGATGAGCGTAGGACTCAGCCCGTCGCATCTGTGCGCGAGAGCCTGTCCTGTTCGATGCGTGCCCCGCGCGGGGACCAGCCCCGCGTGGCTTTGCGATCTACCTAGATCGCCTTTCATATTCGGCCCAGCTGGGCCGCTTCCGTATTAATGAAGCTATGCTCGGAATCTCGAATTTCGGACCAGTATGACAGCGAGGACGGGTGTTGAAATGGACACTGTCTCCCTGGCCCCCCGAGCTGCCCCTCTCACGCCGACGCCGATTCGACCGTAACCGTTTCGGTTTCAGAGCTCTTGAGTCTCGGGCAGAAAAGACTTTCAGCTTTCTCTCGACGGCGGCAGCCGTCAGTTGAGAGGAGGAGGAGGAGGAGGAGGAGGAGGAGGAGGGGGAGGAGGAGGAGGAGGAGGAGGAGGAGGAGGACGAGGAGGAGGAGGAGGAGGAGGAGGAGGAGGAGGAGGAGGAGGAGGAGGAGGAGGAGGAGGAGGAGGAGGAGGAGGAGGAGGAGGAGGAGGAGGAGGAGGAGGAGGAGAGGAGGAGGAGGAGGAGGAGGAGGAGGAGGAGGAGGAGGAGGAGGAGGAGGAGGAGGAGGAGGAGGAGGAGGAGGAGGAGGAGGAGGAGGAGGAGGAGGAGGAGGGGAGGAGGAGTAGGAGTAGGAGTCAAGCTAGCCAGCTCGAGCGAGTCAAGCATGGCATGCCCAGTCCCACCCGCCCTCCCACAACATAAGAAGCAAAGCTGGCACAACTGGGGGCCGAAGTCACACCGGCCAGCCGGTTTGGTACAGCTGATGCGGCCGCGATGGCGGTTGCCGACGGGAACTGGCGAGCGCGTGTTGAATGCCGCGCACGCATTGCCAGACGAGTCGAGAATGGCCCGGTACACCGCAGGAAGCCAGAGGTGGCCGGAGGAAGCCCGACGGTCTGACAGGACACCCCAAAGCATTTTTGTGAAAAAGCATTGGGTTTTTGATGTTTTTATGTTGAAATGCTTGCAAACACACGGTGTTCGGTAGGATTCTGACATGAACGCGCGAGTGTGCTCTTTGTGGTATTTTTTGCACAGGATTCGCGGCCTGGGTGCATGACAGAGCATCGCGAGTGCACCGCGCGATGACGTGAAATCGCTGGATTTGACCGAATTCTTAAGATTCCATGGTTTTCCTATGATTTCAGCAAGAGAGCCCGGGCGGGAAATTTGTATAATTTTTGTGAAAAAGCATTGGGTTTTTGATGTTTTTATGTTGAAATGCTTGCAAACACACGGTGTTCGGTAGGATTCTGACATGAACGCGCGCGTGTGCTCTTTGTGGTATTTTTTGCAATGGATTATCGCCGTGGACGACAGGACGTCCATGTCGAGAGGAAAAAAATAAGAAAAATGTTGATTTTGTATTGTTTTTTACAGGTTAGGATGGGACCACCCGGATGCGGCCCCTAATGGCCGGCCTGAGGGGGGAGTAGGAGTATATTCTAATAAGGAATCAGGATAGGAGTAGGAGAGGAGGAGGAGGAGGAGGAGGAAGAGGAGGAGGAGGAGAGGAGGAGGAGGAGGAGGAGGGAGGGAGGAAGAGGAGAGGAGGAGGAGGAGGAGGAGGAGGGGGGGAGGAGGAGGGGGAGGAGGAGAAGGAGGAGGAAGAGGAGGGAAATGATGATGATGATGATGATGATGAGGAGGAGGAGGAGGGGGAGGAGGAAGGGTGGGAGGAGCATGAGCATGAGCATGAACGCTATGGGAGCTCCAGTCGGCCAACAAGCACACTTGCACCAACTTGCATAGCACAATCTGCACTACACTACCCTGCACACGCAGAGATTGCAACACAGTAGCTCCAGCGTGGCATTCGAAACACCCGTGCTCGTGATAGCCAAAGGCCCTGGCGGCACACCGTCCGCATTGGGCCTGAGAGGCAGGCCGCACGGCGCGCAGCCTGGAGCCGCCCCCCCCCCCCCCCCCTGGCACCACCAGAAAATATTACTGGCGTCCCCCCCCTTCGACGACCTCTACCCTTCGTTCGAGGCTCGCGGGGGATCTTGACTAGGGGCCCACTCCATCTATCTACGGCCCTGATGGGGGCCCCCGATTCGGATCCCATCGCTACTGGAGGATTGAGAGAGGGAGCAGGAAGCTCGACGGAGGAGAAGAAGCGAGTGACGATCAAGAGCAGGGCCTGAAAGCCGCCCTGCATAAAACAGTGCACGAACCCTGCAGCTCACTCGCATCACATCTTCTTGAGACGACCGAGCAGGACCTGCACCTCTCGCTCTAGCGCCCCCCATCGGATCACTGCCTGGCGACGCCCCCCCCCCCCGCCTTGGGGGGCTCGGCCTCGAACAGGCGCTGCGCTATGATGCCCGTCTTCGTCGGCTGGAACAGGTAGGTGATCTTCGCCACCCTGCGCTTGCCCTCTACCTTCTTCGCCCTCTTGCACAGCAGGTAGCGGGCGTCGAGCGCTGCCTTCGGCATGCCGTCGTCCTTGCAGAGCACGTCGATGTAGCACAGCTACGACTTCTGAAACTGCTCGCTCAGGGACTCGCTCTCCATCTCCGCGCCCTTGCCTCCTCTCGAGTTACCGAGGTCTCCGTTGGGCTGGCGTGCAGCACCAGATGCGGAGGCCCCTGCATGCTCTCGGGCTGCTCGTCGCCCTTGGCCAGCGCATCCTTCTCCAGCTCAGCCCAGTCCTGGGCCTGCTGGTTGTGCGCGACGCCGCGCCCCAGCAAGCCTCCGACCAGCGGGTCCTCCACGGGCGTGAGCGCGGTCGTGAAGATGGCGCCTGCGATGGCGCGGGAGTCCGCGGCGTTCGCAAGTGTCAGCTTGGCCGTCGCCTCCGTCGGCGCGTCTAGCGTGGCCGGCTTCGGCTCGCCGCCGCTGCCTCCGCCGCGGGAAGCACCTGCGCGCTTCCTCTGCTCTGTGCCCCCCTTCGGTCGGCGACGCCGTGCGCTTGCCCATCCAGGTAGGTCGCGTCGCCGTCGATCTTTGCGTGGGGAACGAACTCACCGATGGAGGAACATCAAATGCCAAGGCTATGCGGAAAATGACAACGAACATGGGCATGTAGCTCGCGAAGGGATCCACCATCGAACTCGCGCGCCAGGCAGCGAAAGTGCTTGGGGTTACGAACATTAGGTAGGGCGATGGCGCTTCCTTTCCAGCAATAACCTCTTCGAGAACTATAAACAAGATGTCGGTGCGCCAGGGTTTTTGACGAGCGAGTCTCCAGGCAGCTCGGGCACTGATTAGTGCGCGTCAAAATGCGGAATAGAACTACGAACACCATGGCCGGTACAAATATGGGCATTTAGGTTTCCCTCAGAATTAATCGACTCCCCGCAAGCCACCCCGTCAACATGAAACGTGCACGTGAACGCAGGATCGCCACGAAGCCCTTCAGGAATCCCAAGATCAATCCCACCAGCCCTTTGGGCGTGAGTGGTTTAGAGAGCCCGCTCTGTTCTCAACCCCCTTCTTTCCCTTCGGGGAGGGGTTTGCCCCTCCCCCTACCCCCTCCCCCTGGGCCTGGAGTGGGCGTCTCGCGGGTCGTTGGTTGGAGGGGTCTTTTTCGACTCCTGGGAGGGCTAAAATTCGACACCCCTCACGAGGATTCTGGCCCCGACGGGGGGGGAGGAGAAAAGTGCTCGCCCCATCTGTGATTGATCGCCCGACAGATGGCCCCAAGATTCCTCCCAGACCCCTCCCAAAGAGTCCCAAGAGGCACCAAGAGGCCTCCAAGAGGCCCCCAAGATGCCCCCAAGAGGCGCCCAAGAGGCCCCAAGAGGCTCCCCCGAGGCACCCAAGACGCTCCTGGAAGCCCCTGGGGCCGCCAAGAGGCCCCCAAGACGCCCCAAGCGGCCTCCAAGAGGCTCCCAAGAGGCCCGAAGAGGCCCCCCCAAGGCACCCAAGACGCTCCTAGAAGCCCCTGGGGCCGCCAAGAGGCCCCGAAGACGCCCCAAAAGGCCTCCAAGAGGCTCCCAAAACGACTCACACCACGACGAGGGCCCCGAACGACTCACACCACGAGGAGCCCGAACGAGTCACACCAGGAGGAGGGGCCCGAACGACTCACACGACGACGAGGGGCCCGAACAACTCACACCACGAGAAGCCCGAACGACTCACACCAGGACGAAGAGCCCGAACGACTCACATAACGAAGAGCCCGAACGATTCACGCCAGGAAGAAGGGCCCGAACGACTCACACCAGGACAAGAAACCCCAAACGACTCAAACCACGAGGGGCGCTTTCTCTCCCTCTTCCTCCGCCTCGTCCTTCTCCAGCCCCCACCACAAGGAGGATGTGCAAGGAGGCGGGGGGAAAGAGGAACAGGGGAGATATGCGGGGGCAGGCGGAAACGCGCCTGAAAAACACGACTGTCGGCATGCTTCGCAAGAGTTGCTGTTTTGAGATGGGCTGGTGGGGATGCGCGAAGCGTACGTAATTACATCCTTAGAAGCACCGCGGAGGCCCAGAACCTCGGCACCGAAAAGACCTGGAGGAGGAAGCATGACAGTCCACACCCGCCGTCGGAGTATGTCGGGATGATCCAGAGCGCGAGACTTTTCACTGACCTCAGGGTGGAAGGAAAAGGTCGAGATCTTTCCCTCTGAGATGCCCAGAAGGTCACCGCGCCCCGAGGCCTGGCGCAGCCGCGCCATGTCGACCCGAGCTCGTTTGGCCCAGGGGTTCGCTGCGGCGGCGACGGCTCTTTTCAAAGTCGGCGAGGCATCGATGGGCAGGTCGCCAAACGCGCGAGCTACCTCCCGAAGATGATTGCGGGGGCGCCGAATCCAGCTCCGCAGCCGTTTCACGCGCGTAACCTGGACCTCAATCTTCATCGGGGCAATTCCCCAGTGCCTCAGAACACCCAGAGTCGACGGCGTTGTCATGCGGGCGCCCCCCCGATCAGCTGCGCGGCCACGCGTGACCACGCGTCCGTAATGAGCGATCTCTCGGTCCAATCTCTGGCACTCGCTGCTCGAGAGCAAGAACGCCCCCGGATTCGCGCGAGCCGAATTCACCGCCTTGCGCAAAAGTATGCATCTCCTCCATCTCCAAGGGAATCCATGAATACTCCAGAAGGCCCCCGCCCTATGAAACGAAGTCTTGATGGCCTCCTCCCTCGTGGCGATCTCGCCCCCCGCGATGCCCCGGAAGTGTAGTTGCCCCCCCGGGCTGCGTTTAACGTCATGGGCGCTGCCCGGGATCGGGGGGCCTCTGACAACCTCCTCGCGCGATGCGATGCGATGTTGGGCCATCCTGCGTGGACCAGCACCTGGGCCGACTAGCGAAACCATATTAGGCTGCTTCGTGGCGTGCTGCCTATGGCCTCGCTGCTCCAGGAAAGCGTCGAGGGAGTCGCCGGATGTCATCGCCTTGTCGCGCAGCTTCCATGCGCCAGCCCCCCATTCCATATGCTCTTCGTCGTCTTCAAACAATAGCTTCTCTGCGTCGTCAGCGTATTTCGCGAACGAGAGACGCCCGCCGCGACGACTAAAACGGGGCGAGGGGCTACCAGCGCACCCGCGCGGGCAAACTCTCGCAGCGCAGCTTGCCAGCCTGCAACAAGCGGCCAGAAAGCTCGGCAGAAGCCGTGAACAGCAAATGGGCCCCCCCATCGAAGCGCCAGGGCCCGCCTTGATATCAAGGTGCCCTTCAAAAAACGGGAGACGAACTGTAGCTTCGCGAAGGCGCTGCTGAGCAAAAAGACAATCACGGGGCCGACAAACGAGCCGCTGCACTGCATCGTCGAGGGCGGCCCGCGACGAGACACCAAACGCATTGATCAATCATGTCTTTGCCGTGGAGCAATGGAAAGAACCAGGGTCGCGGACCCGAAGCATACTACGTTGTTGCACTAAGGGGGGGGGGGGGGGGGCGCGCCTTCCCTGCGACGACCGCGAGCGAAACCGCGTTCGCAAGGATGGGGCACGCCGCCGCGTCGAACTGCAGCTGCAGAGAATCCCCTCCCGAATGCACCCAGTAAATGCACCGCCCTCTGTCCCGAAGCCCCTCCGCCGCCTTCTTATGTAGCGCGGCGCCCTGGCTGCGGTGCCAGGCAACTGGCGTGCGCGCAGAGGCCCCAGTCTTCGCGAATCCTCGCTGGGTACTGGTGCGAAAAACTGGTGCCTCACGGCCTGGGTTTTTCAACTGCCCACCCCGCTCCAGCTGGGCAACAGGTCAGCGTGTCCCGACGTAGCAGTAACATCGGCCAACTTTCAAGTGGCTCCGGGTCTGCAGGGCATGCCCGCCTGTTCGGGCCCCCCTCAAGTACTCGATGATCCCCTCCCAGCTCCCCCTCCGCCTCCTCCACGCGATCCGTCCACCTGCCTGGCCAGGACAAAGTGTTCTCAAGATGGCGTCGCCTGAAGTTCTGGAAATCAATATTCCGAGCGGCCATTCCCCCTTCTCTATCTGGAAGCTTCCAAACGTCGAGCCACTCTTCTCCCGTGAGAGCAGATCCAGGCACATGGGCATAGTTCCGCCTCTTGATGCCCCAATCAGAGCCAGCGGCAAGCCTGGAATACTGGCGCGCCTCTACGAAGCGCCTCTCTCGCCAGGCATCGTGCAGTAGCTCGAGGTGAACCCGCTGCTTCTTCACCCGCCTTCCCTTTTGTTCTTCATGCGCCTGAGCTGTAACCTCCTTTAGCTGATGTGTCACCACCTCCTCCTCCTCCTCCTCCTCAGTAGTAAACTCTAGCGAACGAGGAGACCCGCGCTGCCGACGGAGAATACCCTCTCGGCGCTCACGCAATTCAGCTTGCGAGCTAGTCTCAGTGGACCCGCGCTATATTGATCAAGTCCGTGCCTGATCGAGATCTCGTTGGCAATCTCGAACAAATCCTCTTGGGTCGGTCTGGCCAGAAGATTCACCAGCTCTGGCTCCCGCATGGAGAATTCGTTCTCAACTGCAGCAACAAGGTCTTGCCGACGAGTACCTCTGTTCAACCCTTTCATCGGAGAGGTCAAATCCAAATCTGCTTCCTCGTCCCTCCTCCTTCAGGAACGAAAGAGATATGCCATGCATCATGGATGGGAATGTGGTCCCGTGGGCAATGGCTACGAATATGCTGCGCATCTCTACGTAGCCTTCGAAGTGCACCAGCCTTGCGTAGGTGACGCAGGAAGGCGCGCGCAACAAATGACATGTCTAGCCGTAGAGTCTAGCCTCTTCTGCTCTCCTTGCGGCCCGTTCCAGGTAGGGGTGAACAAAATCGTGTTCTTCCAGGACCTTCCGAAAGGGCTGCCAGAGCCCTGCGAGTAAAACTCCCGAGATGCCACAGAATCCCGCAATACCTGTCCCAGAGAAATGACTGTAATCCGCGTCCTCCACTATCCCATCCCATCATTCAGATCCCCCGCGAGTGTCGTGGTCCTACCCCGAGACTTCCGCAACACATCGCTGATCCTCTTCGCGAGCAGCTCCACTGTCTTAAGATAATCCGACCTGGCGGCCAGCACTCTCGGCTTGGGTGGGACATAGGCGGCGATGGGAAGAATATCGGTGCAATTTAGCTTCAGGCTGAGACCGAGGTCCCCGACCAAAAAGTGAGCGAGGTGGTAGAAGAGGGTGGCACACTATGCTGGTTCCCTTCAGCGCGGGCCCCACGATAATCGAACAACCCGTGGCTTTGTTAGTGCACGGACAAGGGAGCCAACCCGCATGGATTATCAACGATTTGCCCACTCTCTTCCTCGTGACCTGGCCGTCTGCTTGAGATCGCAACTGGGTGCCTATGAACATCGATACGTCAAAGCCCCTGAAATTGAACTCGAGATCCCCGATGCGGTCGATCCTGTTCGCGCTCAGAATGTTCAAGTCAGCGACCCGCAGCCATCGCTTTCTGACGGCGGCCCCCGACAATGCACCCTCAACTCGGTAAACTCTGTGTGTGTGTGTGTGTGTGGATTGGCATGTGCGGCGACCTGACTTCGCCGAACGACCGACATGAGCTTGTGCCGACGTGTCGCTGGGGAGGAGGAGGACGAGGAGAAGGAGGAGGGGGAGGAGGAGGGGGGGAGTAGGAGGATGATGATGATGATGATGAGGAGGAGGAGGAGGAGGAGGAGGAGGAAGAGGAGGAGGAGGACGAGGAGGAAGAGGAACAGGGGAGGAGAGGAGGAGGAGGAGGAGGAGGAGGAGGAGGAGGGGAGGAGGAGGGGGGGAGTAGGATGATGATGATGAGGAGGAGGAGGAGGAGGAGGGAGGAGGAGGGAAGAGGAGGAGGAGGAGGAGGAGCAGGAGGAGGAGGAGGAGGAGGAGGAGGAGGAGCAGGAGGAGGAGGAGGGGGGGGGCACGCGACCCCTACATCCTCCGATCTGTTCTCAGAGGACATTTAGGACAAGGTGCCCCATGAGTTTCTGGAGGCCAGGCCCTGGAGAGTCCGAGACAGAAGCTTCGGACTCTCGCTGTGACAACTCCGCTGGGACCCCTTCCATGTCAGGCGACGCGGCAACAGGAGCAGGAGAAATATCACCAGGATGAGCGACTGTGAAATTGATGAGCTCCTCCGAGGGGTGATCGCGAGCCTCTCTTAGATGTGGCTGGAACGGATGGGGTCGCCGCATCGCCGATGCATCGGCGATGTCGGCGATGCATCGGCGTGGAGACCTTGTCGCTACACATCGAGCCGCATCGTCGATGCATCGTCGATGCGGGGCGATCCTCTGGCCCCATTCGCTCGGACCCCATCTGGGAGGCCCAGAGTTCTTTGCTGTTGTCTTCGGCCCGCGGCCCCAGAAGCCCATCCTTGATGGCCCGGAGGCCCCCAGAGCTGGGGACACCAAAAAGTACCGCCACCGCCGCCCCCCAGGACCTCTCCCGAAGCGCCTCCTGCTCCTGAGCTCGGGGCGAATCCAGCGGTGGCGACGAGGCCCGCCCAGGAGGCCCCCCCCCGAAAAGGGCAACACGGGGGGGGGCATCCGCAGGCGCGGGCACCTCTGAAGGGGCCCTGGGACACACAAATAAATACACACACAAATAACCGGATTCCCCATATTCTCGTTTATTTTCTGGGTTTTCGTCTTCCCCCCACTTCCAATATTTTTCCACAGTTTCCTGGGAATCGGCGATTCCTTGTGTCTGTGTGTCTTCTCCCCTCCTGAACCTCCTCCTCCCCCGAGGCGCGGGCCCCCGGGGGGCCGCCGCCGAGGCGTTCCACGCCCCGAGAGCGGGAAGTCACCGCAGCGCGATTTGCCGGAGGCCCCCGCGGGGGTCGGCCCGGCTGCCCTCTCGCGGGGTCGGCCCCGGCCGCCCCCGGCCTCTGCCCTCGCGGCGCGGCTTCGCCGCGAAAGAGGGGTAGGCGGCCGGGCCCCGCGGCCTCGCCGCTGCCGTGCTGGCGGGGCCGCCGCGAGCCAGTCGTGCTGCGCTGCCTGGGCGCTGCCAGGAGGTGCCCCCGGGCCCGAGGGGCCCCCAGGACTGCCCAGGAGGCCCCCCTGCGGCCTCCAGAGCACCCCACTCACGAGGCCCAGAAGGCCCCAGGGGCCCCAGGATCGAGCGAGAAGCTGTGGTGGCACCCTGGGCCACGGGGCGCCTTTCGCAGCCCCCGAGCTGAGCTGCTGAGCAAGAGTCAGGGCAGTCCTGCGCTGCCGCCGAGCAAGAGTCGGGGAGACGTGGGACTCGGGTTCGGAGCACTCGGGTTGGCCTGGTGGGGCCATCATGAAGATGACGAGGCCCCATCTGAAATTGTCAGCGAGCTCCCGTTGCAAACATCCCACGGGAGCCGAACCGTCAAAATCCAAGACGCGCTCGTCAAGAAGCGTCGGCATGCCCGCGCCCGAGCCCGACGCTTCCCCGAGAGCGTCGGGGGCGGCCCCCGGACCTCCAACGCGCCGTGCTTCTCGACCGCTGAAGGCCTCCTGGACGGGGTCCGGGTAGGTGGGGTCGCAGGATCGCGCCGCACCGCGGATGCGTCGGCGATGCGTCGGCGATGCGTCGGCGACGCGTCGGCGTGGGGAAAACCTGGCTCTGTATGCAGCCGCACCGTCCGTGCATCGGCGATGCGGAGCGATTCTTCGACTCTATCTCCTCGGACCTGATTTGGGAAGCCAAGCCTCGAATTGCGGGCTGTTCATTCAGTTCGGGCCTGGGGCCCGTTGTCGGGCCCGGGGGCCAGCGCAAACGGATCCGGGACGAGGAACTATACTCCAGCGGAAGGACGGGGTCGGGAGCCCTGGGGCTGCGGAGTGGAACACCAGACCGGCGGATGCCGGGGAAGGCCTACGCAGAAGCAGGGCGGAGGTGTCTTCGTGGCCTCTCGGCGCCTGATGCCCGTTTTCGGGCTCCTGGCCCATCAACAGAAAGGGTCTGGGGCGAGGATCAAGTCGGGCCTGTCCCCCTACAGGGGGATTTTCGACGAAAAATGAACAATACCCCCAACATAATTAAAAAAATAATCAACAAATAGTCTGGGGACCATTTTTTTTAGTTTTTTTTGGGGGGGGTCTTTTTGGGGTACTGTTTGGGTATTTTTTACCTTCGTCGAAAATCCCCCTGCAGGGGGACACGCCCGACATAAGGCGAGGAGCGCGTCTGGTGGACGCCTCAACGCGGGCGGACTCGCCTGCGCTCCGCCCGCTCGTGCGGCGTGGCGACGGCGGCGTCCTTCCAGATCGTCGCGACTCTCGGGGTGCCCCCTTCGATGATCCTCAGAACGCGTGTTAGCCCCAACGTGTGCTTGTCCATCGAGGCCCCTCGATACGACGCGGGCGATGTAATGATCTACTGGTTGGGCGGAAGGAGGCCAGAACACACGCATTGGGCTAACACAGGTCCTGAAGATCCTCGACCCCTGCGCGGGTTGCCATCCCAGCGTGCGGGGAACCGGTCCCCAGCCGGGCGTTCTGCTTCATGGGAAGGCCATCATCGGGGGCAGGGGAGAAACGAGCGCCTCTCGTGCGGCTCCTTCCGGGCCCCTGCAGGGCACAACAAATGCGTCTTCGTCTCCCCCCTCGCCCCTTTTATCGCCCCCCACGGCGCAACGCCCGACCCGAGAAATGCAGCTTTGTCCCCCCCCCTTTTTATCGCACCCCACTGCGCCACGCCCGACCCAGGAAGGTGGCCCAGAGGTCCGGGGGCCCCGCACCAGAAGGATCAGGGCGTCGGAGCCGGGGGAGGGAGCACATGGCTTCGGAGAGGGTGAGTCCAGGCGGACACCGAGCACTCCGTATACGGCCGCACCCCGTGTGGGCTTGGCCTCCCGCCAGGAGGGGCCCTGACCCGTACGGAGTACGCCTGGACGGTGGCCGAGCACTCCGTGTGGACCCATTCCGTCCTGGGCTGACCGTGGGGGGTTCTGAGTGGATAGGGGGGCTGCAAGTGCATACCACTGTGGGTTATAGCTGGCCCATCCTGGCTTATCAGTGGGCTACGAATGCCCCAGGTAGTAGCTTTGGGGGGCAACGACCCGGGCTAAGTGGGCTCCGCCCACTTCGCGGGGTTATCTAACCCCCCTGAGCCACTCGGAAAATCTGTAACCCACTTCTAAGCCAGGTCGGGCCAGATATAACCCACCTTAGCATCCACTTGCACCCCCCCTTATCTCGGCGGTGGACAAACCTCCCTTTAGCAAACCTCCCCTCAGTGAAAACGGCCTGGGACCGAAACCGACGGACCTGGAGCCGCAAAAACCGACGGCCGCGACGCCCCCTCGCGAACCGAAAACGGCAAATTTCCTCAGTCGACGTGTCAGGGCAGGAGGTCTGTCCACCCCCGAGAATCCTCGGGAGCGGCCAAGAGGGGGGGGTGCAAATCATGACCGGCGGCATGTGCGCGGCCCAGCGGGGGGGCCAGGGACGTTATGAAATAAGAAGAGGCGCCATGAGATCTGGGGAAATATCATGACCCCCGCCATGATTTCCCCCCCCCCCCCCCTAGTCATCACCCCCCTCTTTCCGCCCCCGAAATCCACTTAGAACCCCCCACGGTCAGCCCAATAGGGACTGAACATCCTCCGAGCAGACAGGCTCTGGGTCCGGGGGGTGGCGCCGTGGCGGCGCAAACCAGGGGGCCGGGCGCGAGAGGGGGGCCTCCCCGGAGAGAGCCAGGGGGGCCTCCGTGCAGAAGGGCCCGGGGGGGCTACTCTAGGAAGGCGTTGAAGGGGCCCTGGGGCACACGAATAAACACACACAACTAACAGGATTCCCCTATATTTTCTCATAGTTTCTTGGTTTTCGTGTTCCCCCCACTTCCCATGTTTTCCCATATTTTCTGGGGAATCGACGATCAATTGTGTCTGCGTGTTTTTTTCCCCTCCTGAGGCTTCTCAGGAGCCCCCTGCCCTCACTGAAGCCATCCCCGGCTGCTGCGGAGGCATCACCCCCTCCCCCCACCTCCCCCAGGGCGACTACCTTCGCGCTCGCTCTCGCGCCGCCCCCCCCCCCCCCCCTCTCCGGAACAGGATGAGGGACTCGCGCCTCGCTCTGAAGTCGCCCAGGCCGCGAAGCGCCACTGTCTTCGCACCCTCGTGGTCCCAGAACGCCCTCGTCTCAGTGGCTGGGGCCCCCGCGAGAGTCTGACCAGAGCGCGTCCCCGGACAAGCCTGGGCGGCAGACTCCTCGACCCCCAGGCCCAGGTGGCCAATTTCTGGGCCCCAGGGCTTTCAAGCAATCGCGCACGCAGGGGAAGAGGCGGTCCCCAGGGGAAGAGGTCGAAGGCTCCAGGAGGCGCTGGCTCGAACAGATCGAGCCGTCGGATGTCTGGGGGCGTGGAACATTGAAGGGCGATGGTGGTGAGGAGGAGAATATGAATAGAATACGTCGAAGAAGACTGGGCCTGTCAGCAAGTGCCCCACGGAAACTTCTCATCCCCCAATGACCCTGCGGGCCCACAGAAACTCTGGGGCACCTTAGGACCCGGAAAGATGTGCGAATAAGGTGCCCTGCGATTTCTTGTAGCAATAATTGTTATTGTAAATGTCTACGGTTGGAGAAATATTCGGAACACGAAAATCGCCCGCACAGTGCTAAAGGCGATTGCTGGGATGATGATAGAGATGATGATGCTGATGGTGGTGATGATGCTGCTGCTGATGGTGGTGATGATGCTGCTGCTGATGATGATGGTGATCATGATGATGGTGATGATGATGATGATGATGATGATGATGGTGATGATGACGATGATGATGACGAGGATGATGATGAAGAGGAGGAATAAGAGGAGGAGGAGGAGGAGGAGGAAGAAGAGGAGGAGGAGGAGGAGGAGGGGGGAGGAGGAGGAGGAGGGGAAGGAGGCGGAGGAGGAGGAGGAGGAGGAGGAGGACGAGGAGGGGGGAGGAGGAGGAGGAGGAGGAGGAGGATGAGGGGGGAGGGGTGGACACGCGAAGGCGAGTGGCACTGCGAGGGTGCCCCGCGCGCCCCCGCGGGCTCGCGAGGCCTGGGCGCACGCTCGGGTGAGTTCTGCGCCGAACGGGCTGTCGAACGGCGGGTCCATCGGTCAAATCTGGGGAAACGTCATGGCCCACGCGATGATATCCCCTCATCCCTAGTCGCCCCCCCCCTCTCTCTGCCGCCCCCGCAGTTCGAGACGCGCTCGCCAGCACCTTTCTTTCGTCGCAGCGCGGCGGGGGCCGTCCGCACGCGCACGCGCTCAAGCAGCCCAGGGGGCCGCACGGCACACTCACGAATTGTCCGGCGGAGCGAGAACGAATGACGTGCACGGCGAGGACGTGCGGCCGTGCAGGCCAGGGGGGACTCCTCCTTCTCCTCCTCCTCCTCCTCCTCCTTCTCCTCCTCCTCCTCCCCTCCTCCTCCCCCTCCTCCTCTCCTCCTCTCCTCCCCTTCCCTCCTCCCCTCCTCCTCCTCCTCCTCCTCCTCCTCCTCCTCCTCCTCCTCCTCCTCCTCCTCCTCCGCCTCCTCCACCGCGGAAAAAGCTTGCAGGAGGAGCGCGCCGGTGCGGCCAGCCGTGGCTGAAGTATTCTTCCTGGCAATGGGCGCGGGGCGGCATCGCGACCACGCCAGGTGACCGAAGCCGGGGCTGCAGGCGCGCCGTGTTTTCTGCTCCCAGCCCCCCTCCTGCGAATCCCGTGCTCCATCCTTCTCCCTCCCCCTTCCATCAGTCCTCTCTGCCCCTGTGTTAAAGTCTGTGCCACTTACACGAGGCAGGTAAGGAATATATATATATATATATATATATATACCCTCAAGGGTACGATCGAAGACGAAGAGAGCGGGTATCGAGGGTTTGGGATATACGTGCTGAGCGGCACGCGAGCAGATAGGAGCGAACAGTCTTAGCATGACTGTTGCCGATGCTGCTGCAATAGTCGGACTCTGGGGGCCCTCGCCAGGCCCAAGGGACGGTACAGAAACTGCTCGGGGTGGCACGCCAGCCCTGGGGAGAATCGGGCCGGGCGAGAGGGGGGGATAGCAAAGGGGGGGCTTGAGAATCAGCTCACGTAGCCGATTTTCCCGGCGCCTCCCGGAGCAGGAGGCGGCCATGCATCGAGGAATGGGCCCCTCGGTGGCGCCGAAACCAGCTGCATGCAGGAGACTTCGTACCCCCCCCCTTTACCTGTCCCCCCCTTTCGTTCGGCCCGAGAGAAGGTCTGGACCTCCAGGGACCCCGTGCTGAACAAATCGAGACATCGGATGTCTGGACCAGCGCCGCTCGCCCCCACGGTGCGCCAGCCCAGAAGATGTGAAACACAGCACGCGCGCTGGGCACGCAAGGCCGTGAGGCGTGACAGGATCAGCACCGCAGCCCCAACGACTGGCTCGGCAGGGGGAGGAGGATGAGCAGGAGCTGGAGCTGGAGCTGGAGGAGGAGGAGGAGGAGGAGGAGGAGGAGGAGGAGGAGGAGGAGGAGGAGGAGCAGGAGGAGCAGGAGGAGGAGGAGGAGGAGGAGGAGGAGAGGAGAGGAGGAGGAGGAGGCGGAGGAGGAGGAGGGAGGCGCGAGAGGAGGCGGAGGAGGAGGAGGAGGAGGAGGAGGAGGAGGAGGAGAAGTCCGAAGGTCCGACGTCTCACCCGAAGTAGGTCACCCTGTCGAAGGGGAGCCCGAAGTCGCTCTTGTCGGCCTCTTTGGCGGCGCGCGCACCGAGGCGGCGGGATGGGTCAGCACCGGCTCGGGAGCCCGGGCCGAGCTGGAGCGCGCACCGGCCGGGGCCGCATCGGCACGGAGTTCGGATCGACGAATCGGCCGGGCCGAGAGGCACCAACAGCGCCGTGCGAGCACCTGGCCGCATCGGCCCTCCTCTACTTCCTCCCCTCCCCCCTCATCCTCCTCCTCCTCCCCTCCTCCCTCCCCCTCCTCCTCCCCCCTTCCCCCTCCCCCTCCTCCTCCTCCTCCTCCTCCTCCTCCTCCTCCTCCACCGCGGAAAAGGCACCTGGCCGCATCGGCCCGTCGGCGAGATCGGAATCGAAGCGGGTCGGGCGGGCAAGGCTCGGCATCTAGGCGGAGCGATCGGGTCGGGCTGGCCGCAGGGGCGGCGCGGGGCCGCCGGGCCTTGTCCCACAGGTCGAGGTCTTTCAGGTGCTTTGTAGTCTTGGTGTCAACGTCTCTGTAGATCTGTCCGGCCCGCGGGCTCATCGTCTCGAAGGCACAGCTCTTCGAGACCATGCAGCAGTTGAGTGCCGGCTGCTCCTCCTCGTCGGCTCCGTTCCAGCCCTTCCTGGTGGCGAGCTGGTTGCGCATCCTCTTGGCGACCTTCTGGCGCTTGGCCCTCATTAGCTTGGTCTCTGTGCTGACGTCTGGGATGAGGAAGTCAACTAGCTGTCCAAGACGGTCGAGCACCTCCTTGCAAGCAAACCATAATACCACCTTCTGCAGGTCGGACAAGCCATGGGGTGCTGCCCCAAGGGCGTCCAGGAGCCAGTCTTGGCCCTCGTCGACGCCAGGGCTGTTGAAGTAACTTAAATTGAAGATAGGGATGAACAAACACGTCATGCGGCCCACTTCAGCTAGGGCCTGCACGACCTTGCCCCACTGGCCGATGCCATCTGGCGGGAGCCTGGCGGGTATCACCCGCTGGTACACGTTGCAGAGCTTGAAGGCGTCGATGCGAATCTTCACCAAAAATATCAAGGTTACCGCCACCACGATACCCGGCGCCACGGACCCAAACAGAAGCACGTACCCGAGGAGGACGGCCATGATGTTCATCTCGGAGTTCAGCTGCGAGGGCCCGAATGGCGGTCGCTTGGCCTGCACCTCGATGAAGCCCCGGTGGATCTTCCTCCCCTGCTTCAGCAATCGCCTGGCCTCCCACCACAGCGAGAAGCGGAGTATCACGTACGGCTTCAGCATCGACACTGCCTGGGCGAAAAAGACGGGGAGGACCACCTGGTACAGCAACAGCTCCATCTTCTTCGTGCAGTCTTCTGACAAGCAAGATTGCCCCCACGGGGAATCTTCGTAGACGGCCTTGACGGCGAGGTTCGCGTACGCGCTGACGAAGCTGAACGGGAAGAGGACCGCAACGTCCATATTTCTGGCCTCCATGTCGGTCCTAGGGTTTTGCAGCTCAACGAGCTTGTCTGACAAGGAGTCCCAAACGAGCTGGTAGGCGAAAATCTGCACCGAGAATAAGATGGACACCCCGGTGGCGGTCAGGTCCTCGTGAAAATCCTCCACCGCGCTTGCAGCGGGTGGTCTGTGTCCAGCCCTTGCTTCCTCCGTGGATTTCGCTTCTTGCGTAGCAGAAGCTAGGGGTGCCCGACGAATCGGGCCAAATAGTATTCACTGCCGTGTGTCTGAGCGATTTCCTCTTCCCTTCCGCATGGTACCAGTCATGAACACAGAAGTTCGGTCTCCCCCCTGGGGCGCCCTCCCGCCCCCCCTAGCCCAAGCGCGTTGGCGGATTCGCGCGGGAGCGCAACTGAATAATATACCAGCATTACAGTGCCGATAACCATCCCGATGAAAACAAGGGTGACGACGAATGCTATGAGAAAAACCGCGCGCCTCTTCCACGGGCTATACGCTTTCGTCATCACGTGCTCGTTGATGGGACTAGGCTTGTAGTCCCCCCTGTAGTCGGGTCGCCGGACGTCACTGAACTCTGCCAGCTCGACGCCCCACAGCTCCCTGTAGTAGCTCTCCAGCCGCTTCCATCCCTTGACGTAAAACTGCCCCCACAGGGAAAGGCAGAAGGCCGAGGACAAGAATACGACAGCCAGGCCCCTCTTCTCCTCGATCGGCGCGCCTGCGCGTTCGAAGCGGTAGTTGAAGTCGTCGAAGCTCTGGATCGCAACGAACAGCACGCTCACGACGGGCACCAGCAGCACAAGCGAGACCAAGGTGTGCCTCAGCCAGAGGAAGTAGAAGCCGATCATCTCGCCGAAGTAGTCGCGGATCTCCTGCTGCTCTTCCTCGTCCCTCGCCGCCTCGTCCTCCACCTCGTCGTCGTCATCGTCGTCCTCCTCCTTCTCGCCCCCCCCTCCTCCTCCTCCTCCTCCTCCTCCTCCTCCTCCTCCTCCTCCTCCTCCTCCTCCTCCTCCTCCTCCTCCTCCTTCCTCCTCTCCTCCTCCCCTCCTCCTCCTCTCCTCCTCCTCCTCCACCTCTCCTCCTCCTCCACCTCCACCTCCACCTCCACCTCCTCCTCCTCCTCCTCCTCCTCCTTGTCCTCGTCCTCGTGCTCCTCCTCCTCCTCCTCCGAAGACGAGGCCTGGACGAGGAAGCCTCGGACGACGACAACTCAGGCATCTCCGAGAGCCCGCGGGCCTGGGGAGGCTGCGCCGAACACCGCGAGCGCTCGAGCCCACAACGTTCCGGCACGCTCTTGTCCTCACGCCCGGCCTGCCTGGCCTCCGCACCTCGACGTGTCGCCCTCGGCTTGCCCGGCAGGGAGGAGGAGGAGGAGGAGGAGGAGGAGGAGGAGGAGGAGGAGGAGGAGGAGGAGGAGGAGGAGGAGGAGGAGGAGGAGGAGGAGGAGGGGGAGGGGGGGGAGGCGGAGGAAGGGGAGCCCCGACCTCGGGCGTGCCCACCGCGACGGGCGCCTGCGGCCGCCGTGCTGCACAGGGCGGGAGCGGCCGGCATGGACTCGTGGGGCCGGAAGGCATCGGGGCGTGCACCAGAGCGAGCCGCATCGGCACGGAGTCGGGATGGAATCGGATCGGCCGCACCAGGATGCACAGACAGCGCGGCGCGAGCAGCGGGCCGCATCGGATCGTCGGGATGCCGCAGCCGAGCGGGACCTTGCCGGCGGGGATGGGCATCTAGTCAGATCGGATTGGCGCCGCCACGAGGCCGAGGCGCCCCAGAGCCATCACCTCGAGCCCCCTCCTCCTCACCATCCTCCTCTGCTGCCCCCTATCGGCGACCAGTGGGCGATTGGGGGTCGATGCGTCCCCCCTGAGCGCATCTCTCCCAACGTTGCCCCTGACCTCTGCCCTCTGCCCCCCTCCCGATCCTGGATCGGTGGGCCGAGCGACGGCAGAATGGACATCAGTGTCTCCAGAGGGCGGAAGTTGGCCCACGCGACGTGCCCCCTCTTGTAGTGGGCCCTCGACTCGGCTTGGCCCTCGCGGAACTCCCTCAGCTTCGAGGCCTTGTGGACGGCGTAGTACGCGCTGATGAGGCCGCCGCCCAAGCAGTCCTGCAGGTCGATGAACTGCTCAAAGTCCCCAAACAACAGTCGCACCCGGTCGACCGTCCGCATGAAAGATCCCTCCACGCCAGCAATGCCAGCGGAATACTGCCTGAATATTGTCGTGCTGTTGTCCGTTTCGCCGCTGACTTCAAACTTGAACGGGCAATACATGTCATTTGCTTGCTCGACCACGTCCTTGTTGAACTCCAGGAACGCGGCCTCGAGCTCGGAACGCATGGATTGCAACAGCCGCAGCTTGTCTTCCGTGTTTCTCCGCGTAAATTTGGTCTGGAATTTGTATCTCTTCGCGTGCGCGAACGCAGCGGCGGCCTCGTCATGTTGTGCCTTTTTCTCGTAGTCTCCGAGAGAGACGAGGAAGAAGAGCTCATCGTCATCGCAGGACACGAAGGCGTGCATCCTGCAATGCTGCGTCGCCAGATACCTCTTGACGTCTTCCAGGAAGGCAAGCCGCACCTCCTCCATCGTGCATTCCTCGTCGCGTCTGCACAGCTTCTTCAGCGCGGCGTACGTGCCCTCGTACTCGCCCTCTTCCTCGCTGTCGCTGTCGTCCTCCACGAGGACGTCGCTCAAGAACGACCGCAGCTCGTCGGGCTGGAACTTCTTCGTGGACTTTAGCGGGAAAACCACCACCAGGTCCGGCAAGAACGTCGCCTCCTCGGCGGCGCGCAGCAGCGGGGCACGCGCTGACATGGATTCAAGTGATGTAGCGCCCGCTCATACTTAAGGACCGCATCCCAGAAATAATTTCCAGCACCCGGAACAGTGTCGAACGAGTGTCGAAAGAGTCGAAACAGTGTCGGACGAGCGTCTCCCAGGGCCCGATGCGCGAAAACCCTCGAGCTTCGGTGCTTTTTCGGGTGCTCGAAATATTCTTTCGGGTGGTCGAGGCTAAAGTAGGTCGGAACATCATAAGGTTAGGGACCCGTGGCCCTGGCGCGTGATTGCCAGACCCGCGGCGCCCGGGAAGCGCCCCCCGAGACGTGGAGCCGGTGCCGCCCGAGTTGGCGTGAGGAGCGCGTCGACTCCAGCATGGAAGCGGGGCCCATCACGCATTATTCCACACGCCTCGGTCCATGTGCACGGTTTGCCCCGGGGCCGTAGGCGACCCGGGGAGGAGGAGGAGGAGGAGGAGGAGGAGGAGGAG